ATCTGCAGCTTCGTTTTCCACTGAAGGGCTGGCTCTGAAGGCGGGTCTGGAGTTGGGGTCACTGGAAAAAAAGGAATAGTTACTGAGCCTATATTCCGCTACAGGTTTTTGCCGCGAAACCGGTACAAGGATGTTCGGTGCAAACCACGCTACCCTCCCGGCTCCATATTTTCAACTTCTATACCCGATCACGGACCGTTCCTTTGAGTGGCTGCTTTCTCGAAACCACAATCAATAAATTGTTCTTACGTACAGATTCGTGGCAATCTCGTTCCCGATACAATATCGCACGTTTTTCACTCTTCGCACGACATACGGTCTCATGGCAGTGATCGCTGCTACATTTGTAGTCAACTGGAGCGTAACTCTAATAAGTAATGATTTTCTTCGAAGTTTCCCAATCCCTTCTCGGCATGGACTTCCAGATGGATGCGACTACTTCTACAGTCATGATCAGACGTACTGGGCATATGGTAGTGAGCCGTGCGCCCAGTTCCTATGTATTATGTCGACGTTCAATATGACAGCTGTGTAGCAGTAGCGGTCGCAGTGATTGATAGTATTGTTATCGTACAGTTAAGGTTGACAAACCAGGTAGTATCTTTCAGATTCCTCTTATAACACTTAGTGAAATGTTTTTGTACAGAAGAGTATTTCGCGCATGAATGGAGGGCAAAGAGAAGCCGCTACACGGAACAAGAGAGAGTTCAGGTTTCTTCATGCAAGTGAGTTGGTGAAAAATCTCTATGGTACATTCAGATTCCTCTTGTCAAAATCAGGATTTGTTTCAATGCCCTTTACCGCAGTGCCTGTTGTTCAGAATAGTTCACCTAAAATCAGTGCTGGAAGTTGTTTCATCAAGATAGCTGTTATTTACCGCCAAAGTTCGCTCTTTCAAAGTTGTCTTAAGAATGCAAAAGTTATGGGCAAATGTCTCGATCAGGGGGGGACTGAACGCCACAAAGGCTAAATCACTTCGCCCCTGGGATCAAGACTTTCGCCTTTAAGTCAGGAATCTTGTGATAGTTGATGTTGGAGTCGCTTCAGAACCATGAAAAAATGTCTGGAGTGTGGCTGTAATAATTCAGTTCAATAAGGGAAGTTGCAAACTTCCGACGAATCGCTTCACAGAAAGCTCGTATCCTTTTGGTGACATTTTTGATTCTCGGAGAAAAGCTATCCATGTTGATTTTCCAACAAAATTTTGCAATATAAATACCCAGTGATT